TTTGTTTGCTAATGTAGGAATCATATGCAGTACCTTGCTTCATTTACTTACATTTTAATGTTAGAATGTGTTAATTTTTTTATCCTATATATATAACTTATTTAGTATTTAGTTTTATTTATGTGACAGATACATGAAATAAACATTGAATAATTTGAGTAACGGAAAATGTGATTTTTTTGGTGTACAAACTTTTTTTTAGAAAAAAAGATCCTAGCCTACCTGCGATTTGTGTAGCTATTCTCCTTTTAAGTTTTCTTCTTCTTTTTTTTTTTTCAATTTTTAATAATGATTTTTATACTCCTAGAATCTCTAACAGAAGTTTTACTTTAGTCAATTAATTTATATGAGGTGTAGTATTATTAGTTTTTTGTGATATTAAATTTAAAGATATTTTTTTAATAAATTTAAAAAATATTACTTAATAAAAAATTAATCTTTTTAAATGGTCCTCTTAATTAATTACCACAATTTATATTTTAAAAAATTACATAAAAATTGATGTTATTATTTTTTATTATTTTTATATTATATAAAAATTTTATAAAAGTTTAAATAAAATTAAATACAAACACTTATTATCATACTTATATATCATTCGTTTTTCCTTAGTAAAATTTTTTTAATCTGAATTGTTTTCGATGTTATATTATGAACACAATTGTTTATTAAAAAAAAAAAAGTCAACAAATATCTTTTCAAGACATGACATCTAGAAAATTTCGCCGATCAGCAATTGGTTGGTTCCAAGCTTTAGGGTTTGGGTGAGGCGGAGGTTAGGGTTTCGAATTCTGTCACCGTCGTGAACTCCACTAACTTACGACCTAATGGTCGCGTGCCTCAAATGAGGGGATGAAACGTTCACTTTCCTGAAAAAATTCCAGCTGCTAACAAATTAACTCTACTAATTTCCTAACCATCTACTTAACCAAAAATAATAATACGTGTAAATTTGTTTAGTTTTTTGCTTCAAGTCGCCGAAGAAAAAAAGAAAATTTCAAAAAAAAAGGTAGCAAACCAAGCTACAGCATCTTTGTCACGGCATCCTCTAAATCAAACTGATCGATTATTTCCAGTACTCCACAGAGCACGGTTGCACGGTTGCACGGTTGCACGGTTGCACGGTTGCGATGAAAGATTCCCTTTTGCG